AAACAAGCCGAAAAGCTGCGAAGGGGACTGTTTTTTTAAGGAACCGTCTCTCAACTTCTTTCACGTAAGTATAAAAATCTCGAGCCTGAGGCGCTGAGATATTAGAATCGAAAGCCTTACAATTTATCCCTCCGATGCAGTCGGCAGCATGCGCGGCATTAGGCCAATCGCTCTACGAGTACATTAAGTTCAGGGTTACTGGTTTATGTGGGTTTGCGGAAGGAAAGCATTATGAAACGCCTTCAAATTTGATGTGTTACTCCAAAGCATATTGCATGCTTCTTAATGAGTTGTGGTGACCTTGACTTCATAAGAAAGCCAATCCCAAAAGAAATTTCGGTGTATCTTTAGCCTTTGGCGATGCAAGCTCTTTCTGAGCTAGGTTTGCAAGAGCTCTCATGATTTCGTTTACAGTGTACCTCAACATGGCTGCGGGACATTTTCTGTATTTATGTTTCTGTGGCGTTGAAATTGAAAACTTCCTATGAATTTAGACACTATGAAGAAGGCAATTGCCCGGTGTCCCCGTGAATGCCCGTTTGCTGTTCGTAAGACTGAAGGCTTCACTGCAGGCGATGAAGATGAATGCCCACATCTGCGCACCCATGTAACTGTAGCTGCTACAAAGCCAAATGCTTTTTGCACAAGCGGGGCTTAGGACTGTATTTAAACCAAAAAGCCAACCTTCTCCAGTTCAGTAAATGGCAAATGTGCTTGGGACTCTTGGACAATAAGGGAAACCTCGGTGGCGAAATCTCTTCAGTGCATTTCAGACAGCTTTCTTTCTCCGGAACTGCGGCTACGAGGCAGATGCTTCAGTTGCTTTCCAAGCAGCCCTACAGCAGCGAGCAGGAGTGGACAGATGGGAAAAAAAGCCACGACAAAGTAGGACATTCGCACTCTACTAGGCTGCCTTTACCGTCGTCACAATGTGTCACAACGTGGAAGTAGGGTAAGTGCGCTATGTCCTAATTGCGGCAGAATGAAGCACTGGGAACAACAAAACAATGCGGCGGCTTGGTTTTTAAAGTAAAGCAGGCTACGCCGATGAAGGTAAGGAACTTACTTAAAAGACTAATGGCGCAATGCCCTCGCGTACAACTCCGGTGTGTCAGCGGCAACCGCCACCCGTCAGGCTCCGTATAACACAAAACACGCCCTGGCTACTCCATGCATACAAATGAAAGAAAGCAGCCAATGCGTTCAATACATGGCCCTTTTGCAACGTAAGAGCTCCTGCTAAGCTTAGTTGAACCACTCGCAGTATTACATTGTTACAGAAAATTAATCCAGCTGTCGCCTTGAATTTCAGAAAAAGTTTGTGGTTTTGAAGAGCATCCGTATGGGGCTCTAAACCTGGAGTCCAAATGTAAGGTGAGCCATGTCTGTAGCGCACGGCATTACAATGCCGCGCTGCAACAACCTTCAAAACTTGTCACATTTTGCGTTATATGGGAAAAGCATAGCTCGACTTGCTCCACTTGGACAATTTTTGCACTGCAACGGACCGCGCTTGAGGTGGCAGACAGGTAGGCCAGGGTTTGGGGAGGGCAGTGTCAGGCAGTAACAACCACACCGAGAGTTGAAATCTCTTGTTGGTAGCGGAGAAGCAGCAATAATAGAAATATGTTTATCTTACTCTTTACTAGGTCTTTGCTGTTCAGAGACGTTTGTGCGCATTAGCAGCACTGTGTGGGGGCTAAGCCGAGTTTCACTCAAGATGACTGAGGGACGTTCGGGGAAATTATTATTCTATGAGCAGTAGGGTAAAAACTTGATTCTACGGAACCCTGTTTCTTTCAGCATAGCACACAGTAGAGCTCATTGGTTGGGCCAATACGGAACCGTCGAGTGAAAGGTGAGCAGGTTGCAACATCTGCCGAAGTGTTTTCTGCACGAGAAACCAATCAAACACAGCAGATGGCCACTTCTGCACGCACAGTGCCGGACTATTAAGACTCGAGCACGCCTCCACAAAATTTACTTTGCAAGAGATAGGCAGTAGAACATGCATAGCAGATGGACCAAACCAACGTGGTCGCCCCGTTGCAACAGGAGGTGAGGAATTGGCGAACCTGTCCTGAAGCTGTGGAAGGCCCTAACCAAGGGAGCTACAGTTCATTTCATGAATTGGAGAGGTGGCAGCACCATTGGACAACTTGTGGGAAGCTATCACGAAGGTGTGGAGGAGACGGCGAATCAGTTGGATAAAAGCCCATATTCGGGACTTAATAGAAACTAGCTGCAGCCCTTGATGCGTGATCAGGCATGCTCTGTCTCTTTTTAGTGCAAGGAAAAGGAACATCTGGCTACGGGTTGGTCCCATGAAACTAATGGGCTCGCCGAGATGGAGAGACCTGTAAATCGTATGAACGTGGTACAAATTAAGGGGGAAATAGTGTTTCACAGCCACAGCCGCGTGTGGAGTACAACGCGTTCAGCTACCCCTAGTTGCGAGGGGTCTAGGCGCAATGTGGATGAAAAGTGACTACAGTGCACTCTAGCAATACGAACGAAAACTGTCAAAGTCTCAAAATGCTCGAAGCAAAGACTTCTGCAGCAAAAGACGGGAAGTCCCCGGATTAAGGGCTACAGATGAATTTACTGTAGTGTGCAGGCACTACAATAGGGCTTGCTCGTGAGCTCAAGAGGATAGCCCGCTGGTGACCTATGAGCGGTTGAGAGGTTAAGACGCTAATCGACAGCGGAAACTTCTTACTAGTAAAAGAGAAAAGTAATTTATTAGCAAAACGACATGTATAAACTAGAAATGTCTACGAAAAGCCTAAAATTGGGGCTGGCGACAACGCCGACACCTGCGCGGGTCATCTCCCTACCTGGCGAAGAAAGCAAGAACCATGAATAAACGACTTAGAGAGTTTCTGGTTTGGAAACCTCGGAATAGAACTGCCTTTTCCATAATATGGTAGACGTTTCTCGACAGATGCGTCAAGAATTTCATAGAGCGCAAAAGTTGTGGGCCAGGTAGCACCGTATCGTTGCCGAGAACGCCCTGTACTACATCTACTGTGCGTGTTAAGGAGGTAAAAATGCACCCTAAATAGGCATAGGCATCTAAGGCTAGTGGTAATTGCATGAAAAACCAACATCTTGACGACATGACGGAACGCATGTTGTGCGTAGGCCAGTACCCAGTGTGCCTACAGAAGCTACAGTGATCTACGCTATGGAGGGAATATAATAGAACGTAAGACTGGTATTGAATAAGATCAATTAGACAGGAGACTAAGCCAATTAGTTACGAGCCTCAACCGCTCATTAGGGTTTCGCTGCTGACTGAGTTGTGAGGCGCCGGCCCAACAGAGCCATAATTAACTCCAACTGTATCCGGGCCAAATGCACCATTCTAGGGAAGCCTGGACAGTCAACACAGCAGCACTTGAATATTTTTTTTGACAATTGCGAGCCAACTAAACTCTCAGGGAAATGCAGGACTATTTTTTTGTTGGTAGTTGCTAGCCAGCAAAACTCTCAGGGAATTGCAGCCTGTGGCAGGTCCACTGGCTCCCATTGGGAGGGGTGGAGGGCTCAGCTGTGGCCCTTTTGTTTCTAGATTTGAACGCCAAATGGCTCTTTAAATTCAAAATAAAATTTGAATTCAAAGAGCCAAAGAGAGGCGAGAGTAGCGCCTCCCAGCTGGTCCAGCTCCTTTGTTTTCTCCTGCTGGTCTGCCCCCTGTGGGCCTCCCAGGCCTGGCTTTCGGTCTTAATTTTTTTTCGCATCAACTTTGCATGCAGGGTGTGTGCAGCCTCTGGGGGCCCCTGAAAGTGGCCAGGGCCTCAAAAGGGGTACTCAAGGGGCCCCTCTACAAGGCAAAGCACCTGAGTCCAAACTGGAGACGCAGACTCTCCCGCAGCAGCAGCGCCAAAGGAAGCTGCAGCAGCGCCGAAGGAGGCTGCGGCTGCGCCAAAGGAAGCCGCAGCAGAGCAGGCGGGGCTGAAGCAGCGCCCAAGGAAGCCGCATCAGCACCGAAGGAAGCTGCAGCAGCACAGGCTGCGCTGCAGCAGCACAAGCGAGGCTGCAGCAGCGCCGGAGGAAACTACAGCAGCACTGAAGATGCTGCAGCAGCACTGAAGGTGTTGCAACAGCACCGGAGAAGCTGCACAGCAGCCTCCTAGGCCTGTAAGCAGGGGCCTCTAGTGGCGCCTGTAGGCGCTGGGGAGCGCCGACAGCGGCAGCCTTTAGGTCTAGGGGGTCTTTAATGCAACAGGTTAGGATTTATTCACTTCATTTTATTAAAATTTTACGTATTTAAAGCAAACAACGCTTTTTGCTGCAAGAAATGAAAGCAAGAAGCAAGAGCGAGGGCTTGCTGCAGCGCAGGAGCGACGCATGCAACGGCAGCGACGACTCCATCGAAAGAGAATATTTCCCGACAAGAAGTGGTAAATAATTGCATTAATAACTGAATAAATAAAAAATCGAAAAGCAAAAGTACAGAAAGCTTTATTGAGATCTTCTCAACTTGTCGCGTATGGGCAGAGGCTTCTGGAGCAGCCATCTAAACCCCACTCGTTGACACCAACAACAAGAGGCTGTTTGTTTTTCATATAGAAAGTAATTCATAAGATCTTAAAGGGCTTCAAGCTGCTGTTGTAGCAGCCCAAGAGCGACTCAACGGGCGAGCTTGCCACTAACTAGAAGCAGCACAGCAGCGGCAGCATCAGTAGCAGCAGCAGCTGGTGCTGTGAGACTCGAGGAGTCTGTTTTCAGGCTCCTTGCCTTTTCGGCGTTGCCTACAGTAGCAGCCAGACCTACAGCAGCAGCAGCAGCGAAATTGAAAGCAGCAGCAGCAGCTGCAGCAGCAGCTGCTGCTGCAGCAGCCTTTACAAGGCGAACACACTCTCGTGCCCCACATCAGCCACCCATGGCGACTCGTCAGTCTTTATGCGGAGCACCAGCAGCAGCAGCAGCAGCAGCAGCGGCAGCAGCAGCAGCAGGTACAGTAGTGGGGAGGGAAATCTGCCGCGAATTAACCAATGAAGTTGCAGATTGGGAAACTAGCTGCCTTCCCTCGGCGTGTCTCTTTGCTGCTGCTGCTCCTGCTGCTGCAGCTGGGCTTTGAGGATGTGAAGCTGCTTCTGTGCGGCCCCTCGGGGGGCTGCTGCGGCTGCTGCTCTTTCCTGCTTCCTGCTGCTGCTAGCAGCAGAAACGAACCGGGGTACAGCAAAACAAAGAGTGCTGCAGCAGGGAAGGACTTGCAGCATGTACAGAAACAGCTGCAGCAAAAAGAGAGGCAGCAGCAAAAGCAGAAGCTGCAGCGCCAAAAGGGGGAGCAGCAGCACCAAACAGAACGGCTGCAGCAGCAAAAAGAGATGCCGCAGCAGCAGAAAGAGAAGCGACAGCAGCAAAAAGGGAAGCAGCAGCAGCAAAAGGAGCAGCACGTGTCCGATCAGCAAAAGCAGCAGCAGCACCAACACCAGCATTTCTTGAGTCAGCAGCTGCAGCATCCGCTGAAGCAAAAGTGCTGTGTGGAGACACAGCAGCAGCAGCAGCAGCAGCAGCCGCAGCAGCAGCAGCGGACGCAACACAGGCAGCAGCAGCGTTTGCAGCAACAGCTAATGGGTTTGGACAGTGATGAGGCTTTGGACATCTACAACACAGAAGAAGATGCGGAAGACTCTGTTAGCTGTTTGCTGCAGCAGCAGCAGCAGCTGCAGCCACAGCAGCTGCAGCAAGAGCGGAGGCCGTCTCAGCAGCGCGACCTGCAGTCCGACACCGCATTTTTGCAGCAGCAGCAGCAACAGCAACAGCAGCAGCAGCTGCAGCAGCAGCAACTGCAGCAGCAGCAGCTGCTGCTGCCAGACATGGACCTGGGGGGGGGGCCCTCGCGGCTGCGGCTGCAGGACTTGCCTCCTCTTTCTTTTCCCAAACCCTCGCCGGACTTGGTGAAGCTCACGGAGCCCCTGGCCTTCCACACCAAGCCCCAAGGAAAGGTCAGCAGCAGCAGCAGCAGCAGCAGCAGCGGCGGCAGCAACAGCAGCAGCAGAGGCAGCAGCGGCAGCAGCAGCGGGGAGGCGCGCAGAGATGGTGACGCGAGCGGCCCCGCGCATGCAAGCAGCGGCACGCCCCCAGGGTTTTGGGTTTAGGGTTTAGGGTTTAGGGTTTAGGGTTTAGGGTTTAGGGTTTGCGCGCAGGAGCCAATAAGGAAGATGTACCCCTTCGGGGTTCCCATAGAAGTGCGCAGTGTATCTACAGGCCTCCGCATAAAACTCATTCTCCAGGCAGTGCTCGGCTCTGGCGGCCAGGGCATTGTTTTGCTGGTGAGTCAAGGAGCTAGCTAGCTAGCTAGCTAGCTGGCTAGCCAGGTAGCTAGCTAGCTGGCTGGCTGGCTGGCTGGCTAGCTAGCTGGCTGAGTAGCTGGGTAGCTAGCTGGCTGGCTAGCGAGCTGGGTGGCTAGCAAGCTAGGTAGCCAGCCAGCTAGCTAGTTAGCTGGCTGGGTGGCTAGCTGGCTAGCGAGGTAGATGGCTAGCTAGGTAGCTAGCTGGCTAGCTAGCAAGTTAGGTGGCAAGCTAGGTAGCTAACTGGCTGACCAGCTAGCCATCTGGCTAGCTCGCTAGATAGCCACTTATCTGCGTCTTCAGCTAGCTTATTATCAGCCTTATTGCGCAGCTAGCTGTCGAGGTAGCTAGCTAGCTAGCTATCTAGACTCTCCTCCCTCTCTCAGTTGAGCTGGCTAGTTATCTAGCTAGCAGGTTAGCTAGCTAATTAGCTAGCTAGCCAGCTAGCTAGTAGACGTACTGTGGCTTTTTCCTCACCTTTCACCTGCGGCTCTTTGCTGCCTTGTAAATCGTCGAAGTGCCTCTTGAAGCTCGTCCTCCTTCTCTGTGCTGCTGCTGCTGCGGTTGCTGCTGCTGCTGCTGCTGCTGCTG